GAAGACAAACTCTGACATGCACAACTCTAATCATTACAAGCAACTACTATGCAGCAGCGCCTCCGTTGTGCAGGGAAGCGTTGCGCTGCGCGGGGCTGTTTTTCGCCTTTTCGGCGATGTTTAGGAGACCCTACAACTCAAAGGTGCAAGTAGGTGCAGCTAAATTCTTTTGGGTAATGTTCCTTGGCATGTTGGCTTCCGCAAAGACTGAAGGAGGCCGTTAAACAACGTTAAACAAAAAAGTGCCGCCTCTGCAAAGATTAAATTTTGACAATTTTGTCAAAGTGTATTAAAAACAAAGCTGGACACCACAAAAATCGTCCAAAATCAAATGTAAATGTATGTAACTTTTCGTAAAGAAACGCCCTTTCACGTGGTGTCAATAAAAATGATGCTGCACAAAAATTAATAAGTTTTTTTTGCGTTTGAAATCATGCATATTTACTGCACCAAAGTAGCGCAAATCGTTTGGTGCGTGTTTGACCACCTGTATGTTGGCTAAAAGGTGTCCCTGTGTTGAAATTCTGCCCAATCCTGGTTCCTTGGAGTATTGGGAAGAGTTATCACGAACAAAAACTTAAAGATTTGAGTGTTAAAAATATGGAATTATGTCCGCCTAAACCGGCTTCGTGGCCCACTGTGCGCTGAGCACCGAAGTACTGGAAATCAGGCTCCAATGCACGGCGTTTACTGTGGCCAGATCACAGTGAATCCTGTGACCGAGATCACAGTGAACGCCGTGAACTAGTTCACAGCAAACGCCGTGAATTGCATAACAGCAAACTTTGGTAATAAATTAACGGCATTGACAGGCCTTTTTTTGTTGTTCAGTGTACGCTGAGCACGAACCTTCCACCCCTTCTTCCAGCGTAACGTTTCGCAAAGTTTCTCACACTCCCTCATTACCACCAGCAGTTTTTACATGCTGATAACGAAATTCACTTCCATTTTCACTCCAGACTAAAATTTCCGTCTCAAACAGGTCATTTTGAACCAAAATTTGCAATGCAAGTTTAACATTGTTTCCTGCAGTTTTTGTGCTGAGCTCGAAATTGACTCCCAAATTTTTCGCAGACGCTTAACCGAATTTTAACTAACTTTTGACCAAAGTTATTGAATCGTGTTTGACGTTTCTTCCAGCAGTTTGTGTGCTAATAACGAAAATCACTTCCATTTTGTACTCTAAACCCACACCTTCAGATTCCTATGATGAAAGGGCCATCGTAACATACGTTGAAATGAGAACATTCGTACTACAATCAAGTTCATGCGTAATACGATGAAATTCATGCGTAATACGATGATATACATGCGTAATACGATGAAATTCATACGTAATACGATGAAAATTTAGCATATTGCGTATGTGCAAATTTATGCGTACCTTACGATGAAAAACCATCGTAATACGTAAAAAAATGATCATAAGATGTTGAGTGTGCACATGTCACCCAATATGAGCTAAATAATTGTCCATTTTGTCTACTCAAGTAAAATCCGAAGTGCACAAACTTGTATGTCAATTCGCATCGCTCAGCCGGACGTACTACGTGCCCACACAAAACGGCGCGTACCCCTTGTGAAAAAGGTGGGCCATCCTACACTGTAAAAAAAGTACGGAAAAGGTACGGGACATGTCTGGTCAACAATTTGCCTGAAACGTCCATACTAGCCAACCACGGAACTCCCGTGCTTTTTTTCCGTGCCCATTTACATGGGTTCATATGGAGTAAGTACGGAACGTTCCGTACTTTTCTCTGTACCTCCGTACTATATGTTTCTGTACCATTTCCGTACAAAAGCACGGAATTTTTTGCAGTGTGCTGTGAAGCCCTGTGCTGTGGTGGGCCCACCCGCGGGCTCTCAGAAGGGCTGCGTCACTCACGTGCCGATCGTGACGACGGACCCACACGACCCAAACCTGTGCCCGGCCGGGCAGGTTTGCAACAATTTGCACTCGGGCCAATTCGTTTATGTCCGCGCGGCCCCGGCTGATTTCAATTCACCCTGCATTTCCATAGAACCTTTTCGGCGTGTCGCGCGGCAAGAATAGGAAGTCTAGTGGCAGTCTACTGAAAGTCTTCAGTCAAGACGAGCGCCTACAGAATAGAAGTGGTAACTTGTGTGTGATTCCACTTGAGCAATCAGGAATTTGGGGATGCTCGGTTAAGAGGGTTCATGTTTCAAGCTATTCTTTTTGAGTGAAATTTTACTTTTCTTCGTAATCTTCGTTGCAACTAGTCAGGAAAGTTCTCCGCGGTTTTACTATCCGCGCGTTGTCTGTTACTACTTGCTAAGAGGTGGACAGGCCAATGGGGCATTCCACGTTAAACCATCATGTTCCAATACGTACTTGCTCGGTTCCGCTGCACCCGGCTCCCGGTCGGCGGCCCGAGCGCAGAGACCGGCGCGGCTCGTCACGGCCAGGCTGCCTCCGCAGCCAGCTTCGCCCGGCGCGCCGCTGCGTTCAAACGGACTAGGCAGCGTCCGCGAAACGCCTCTCGCGGTTTCGCGAGGATCGAGGTGCGAAAAGTCGACCGGGGCATTTTGAATCAGTTCCGTATCCAGTCTAGTGTGTACACGCGAAATTTGGCGCTGTTGCCGTACTCCGTTCAGTCGCACGGGTAAATGACTGAAATGTGGACTTTGCGTCACCTACCCTTCGCCGCGGTGGTGGCAGCCGGTCTAAAATGTGGTTAGGCACTTCCCTTGCACCCTTGGCAACATACCTAGACGGCGCCCACGTTAATCCGCCGCACGCGGGCTGCCTGGGGCGCGCGTTTGTGTGACGGTGCACGCGGTCCGCGCGCCGAGGCCAAAAACTTTGGGGCCGATGCGCGCCCACTTAGGGTTGTCGGATCGCGCTCAAATTTGGCACACCTTCGTTTTAGACTAAGACCTTCATTTCTAGCCTATCGTACAATCGAATTTCAAACTTGTGAAACACCCTCCTGGAGGGTGCATTAGGCAAAGTGAGGAAAAATGAGTTCTCTTCTTCCGCTTCATGGATCATTTACAACATGCCTGTCAAAAATACGATAGAAGCGTCATTCTTCAAAGAGACTCCCGAAGAGTCAACCGTGTTCCTCAGTTTGCGGAGTCTTTGAACGCGGGAACCGCACGGTGACGTCCCTACCGATGTGAGCCCCAAAGACGGAGCTAGGGATATGCGAATAAGGATTATAAATTTGGAATCGAATCTAAATAACAGGAAAAGTAGCGATATTCATCGGCAACTTTGGCCCGTCCCGTACATTAAGAAACGTACAAATTTCGCCTATGTTTGACCCTGACGGGAATAAAACCTGAGTCTGGGGTTAAAACAAATGTCGTTTTCGTCATCAGCACCCTCAAAAACATCAGACACAATGCAAAAACTCGAATAAAAAGAATGTTCAAAAAATACCCCGCTGGGACTTGAACCCGGGTCAAAACTTCTCCGATTAGCTCGAAACTGGCACCATTGGTTTTTTCTCGTCGCCCCGATTCCAAAAATACCCCTACATGCCCTCCTAGCTGCATCCGTTGCCGAGATCCTCCTCGACCCCATGTAGACCATGATGCACCTGCAGCAGCGCCCCCGGGGCTCGGATCGGATTTGCTGCCACCGGGTGGTTCTTAGGGTCACCCAAGGAGGCTGCATACCAAATTTGGTCAAGATCGGACCACGGGAAGTCCTCGGACGGACGAACGGACGGACGGACGCACAGCAGGGATCATACTATATGCCCGTCCCTCCGTCATTTTTTTTTACAAAAAATGAACGGGACGGGCCAAAAAAGGTTTCGAATTGAACTCGAATTGAATGTGGAAAAAGATGTCGAATTGAATCGAATTCGAACTGAAACTAAGAAAAATTAGTGCGTTTCAAAACAAATGTTCTGTAATAAAAGAAGGGCATAGAGCAGAAACACAAAAAGAAGAAAAATTAGATATCTGATCCTGCTTTGGTATGAAAATAAAACGTTGTGCGCGCCAAGTTCAACCGTTCTCGAGGAACCGATTCCAGGGGGTGGCAACGGCCTAGGGAGAATGTGAAGCGATGCTCGCGCCGTCAGTGCACAGGTTGCGCACTTGTTCGAGATTATGAAAACTAGACTGTCTTTTTCAAAACGCTTTGGACCGATGGAAAGAGCTTGAAATTTAGGGTGCATTAGGCTAATTGCTCTTCTCGAAACTCCCTCCTTACTTCAGCTGATAAAATTTTTTCCGGATCAAATGCGCCTCGTTATTGATCTTCTACAATCCTAGGGACCCCATTCCGCCAATAAAAACAGGGGGCGGAAATTATGATCCATCCTACTGAAGACGCTTTCTGTGATCTTTACATTGGAATGGACTACGAGACAATATTTACTGAGTTCTCCCAAACGAGGCGAAATTTGGCAACGGTTCAAGCGGAGCGGACGTCTGCATAGACTCTGTATTTCTGTAGTACATTTTTGGAGGTACCTCCTTTTTCCAACAAGTGATGAGAAATTGAGTTGATTCTTTTTACAAAAGATTTATGAAGACACAAGTCAAAACATCTCCTTTTGACATTTTGTGCAGTGGAGTTCTGCCCACTTCGGTTGAGTTACCTTCATATTCTGATACGATTAAGACCGTAAACGGGGTCAAGTTGAATAATATCCATTTTTATGTGGATTTTCTCCCAAACTGGTAGGAATTGGGTCAAACAATTTGGTGTGATGATGCACACCATCCTGAGGCACAATAAAAAGGTAGAAAACTCAATTTGGAGATATCAAATTGTTTTTTTATTCCGCTTTGTGGGTCATTTCTTTCTGATGAGTCATTGCCTTCACAAACCCAGAATATGACCTTAAAAAGGCAAAGACGAGTGATGAAATGGCCTTGCCATTGTTGGGACCTTTTAGTCAACAGTGTTGTTTATTTTGCACGGCGCGAGACACGTGCCAGGCAACCGACTTGATTCCGCGAAGGTCTTGTCATCGTGTCGCACGATTTGAGGTGACATGTCACGACATCGAATGACCAAAAAGGTTAAAAGCAGCTAGCGCGCACGTAAAGCAGGCAGAGCCATCACAATGATCGCTGCGCACGTCTTAATATTCTGCATCGTCGGCGTTGCCGCTGCAAGCTGCCTTTCAGGTAAGACCCCTTCTCTCGGCATAGAGGAAATGACATATTCGCAATTAGAATGTTTTTTCTCGGACAGTGAGAAATCGATGCTGAATCCTGAATCTGCGCACTGGAAACTTACGCTTGCACCACTGAGCTGCGGATCTAGACGCCGCCTTTGGCGGCACTATGTATCACTTTTTGCCCCTCTCTGAATCGGCTTTCTAGGTGCTACGGGAGTACCGGGAACGTTAGGGTGGCCCAAAAAAAATCGAAGGTTTTCCGATTGTCTTATTCCGCTCAAAAATCGATTCTTGACCGAAAAAAAATAACCCCTATTTTTTGCGTTTTGTCCTGAGACGATTTTGAATACCGGCTCAATAGCGAAAATGGTTTTTAACCCGTTTAAAGCACCAAAATTGTCATAACAATTACAGTTTTTATCGGATTTTCAAAAACGATACGGCAAAATGTTCAGTTTTAGACGGCGAACAAATTACATTTTCACCCATTTTTTGTCAGACTTCGTCTTCAGTATTCTACTTGCGATTTTCGCTCAAAAAAACACAAATTGTTCACTATTTGGAGATAATTTTCTTGTTTCGGACGGCCGAGTTGCGTCCCTATCCACTTTCTTATCTTACCCTATCCCAAAACAAACCGACTACGTGAAATATAGCCGTGCAAATCAATTTGCCTACCATCTAGGGGCAAGCATTTCGTTGCTTTCAGTTTAAAGAAAAGTCTGTTGAGCTCTGAGGCCGCAATTTTCCTCCGATTCTCAAACTCGAGAAATCATTTTGTTTAGTTTTTTAAGACGAACAAAAAAGATTCTGGTTATTTTTTTGTCAGACTGCGTTTTAAGGTCCGTCTCTGCTTACAACGTGCAAAAATCGCCCAAATTCGAATTTTTTGCCCACTTTTGGACCGTTTTTCTCGTCAGCGATCCACGTGACCAGCCAATGATCACTCTTTTACCTTCCCTAGCTTTTCTGGAATGGCTGGAATTAAGAAGAGCCAGGTCCTAGACACGAACTAACAGGTCCAGGCATGATTTGGCGGGTTTTTTGCTTGTAACGTGCAAAAATCGCCCAAATTCGAATTTTTTGCCCACTTTTGGACCGTTTTCTTTTGTCCAAACCTGTCACAACTTCTCCATACCGGTCAGAACTAGACAAAATCGGTTGCAACACTCCCACTTTTACTGAACTATTCACACGAGCCCAAAACCGTCCGGGCTGGCCTTATTTATTCTTTTTTTAAGAAGGAAAATTCTAAACGACCCGCCAAATCATGCCTGGACCTGTTCGTTCGTGTCTAGGACCTGGCTCTTCTTATTCCAGCCATTCCAGAAAGGCTAGGGAAGGTAAAAGAGTGATCATTGGCTGGTCACGTGGATCGCTGACGAGAAAAACGGTCCAAAAGTGGGCGAAAAATTCGAATTTGGGCGATTTTTGCACGTTTCAAGCAGAAACGGATCTTAAAAAGCTGTCTGACAAAAAAATGACCAGAATCTTTTTTGTTTGTCTTAAAAAATTAAACAAAATGGCATCTCGGGTTTGAGAATTGGAGGAAAATTGCGGCCTCAGAGCTCAACAGACTTTTCTTTATACTAAAAACAACGAAATGCTTGCCCCTAGATGGTATGCCAATTGATTTGCACGGCTTTATTTCACGTGGTCGGTTTGTTTTGGGATAGGGTAAGGTAAAAAAGTGGATAGGAACACATCTTAGCCGTCCGAAACAAGAAAATATTCTCCAAATAGTGAACAATATGTGTTTTTTTTGAACGAAAATCGCAAGCAGAATACTGAAGACGAAGTCTGACAAAAAGTTGGTGAAAATGTAATTTGTTCGTCGTCTAAAACCGAACATTTTGCCGTATCGTTTTTGAAAATCCGATAAAAACTGTAATTGTTATGACAATTTTGGTGCTTTAAACGGGTTAAAAACCATTTTCGCTATTGAGCCGGTATTCAAAATCGTCTCAGGGCAAAACGCCAAAAATAGGGGTTATTTTTTTTTCGGTCTAGAATCGATTTTTGAGCGGAATTGGACAATCGGAAAACCTTCGATTTTTTTTGGGCCACCCTAGGGAACGTCCTACACCCCACCTTCGACGCGGAACTTGTGTGTGCTCGTTCAAGGGGCCCTATTCAGAAGATCTTACCTGGGCGTTCCCCCCCGAGAGAATATCATCTTAAACGCCGGCGAGTTTCACTCAGTTTGATCATTTGGGACGGATACGAGAGAACGCGGAATACATGCACTATCGGTAACTTTGATCGTTCACCATCAGATTTAAGTGAATGAAATCGGAAATTAAATTAATTTGTAGTTTTATCAAATGATCAAACTGAGTGAAATTCCCCTGACAAGACAAGATCTTTTGAATAGGACCCCTCGAGTTATGCATTGCACATGGTTCCGTAGAGAAAGCTGCCTCTCCCTTTTTCAAAGAATTACAGATGCAGAAAAAAATACTTTTCACTTTTCGTGCATACGCCCTAACAACGCCCAATTTCCTGCACACCCACTTCTGTGCGCCCTTTAGTTTGTACTTTGTTGAAATACTTTTGATCCAAATTTATTTTTGTGTTTTTTTTTTCTGTTTTTCAGATGAACCTGTGAAGAACAAGTTTTATGGTGAGCTTTGAAGTCACAAGCCAGAAGCACTCTCTCGCCTCTATATTTGTCACAGAGAACCAAGTGTGTGGGGAAAGGTGAACTGCAGCAACTAAATTTAGAGGGTACTTTGGAGGTAAAGCGCATGCTAGAGGCGCATTTTGGAAACGTCCTTCGGTGGACGGGTAACATACCATAAATAATCTTTTATCAAGCGAAACGTTCGTGTTGAGTTTGTCCGCTGAAGGGCGCGGAAACGGACGCGTGGTTGACGATTCTGAGCGGAACACAGAAACGTCCCAAGGGTAGAAGATAAGGGCAGGGTTGAATTTACACTGGTTCAAGGCATAAAACGCTCACTTGGATCGGACACTGCTTCATCTAGCCATGGCATACTACAGTACGCAATCTCGATTCACCATTTTTGGCCTCAATGTTGACACGCGATAAGAACAGTCACGAAAAATTTAAGATCAGAAAAGATCCGACAACTTTCTTGTTCGCAAGCGACTCTGAAATTCACGCCAGTATTTGGTGTAAATGTCTTGTTACGCCTATTTTTTGAATTACTTCTCTCATTAAACACATTTTCATTCACGCCTCGTGACGGCGGCGTGCCTCACGTATTTTATCGTATTTAGGCTTTTGTTTCGATACACGCCGATTTGTGACGTAACTTTACCGCTATTTGTCCGCCCATTGCGTTTTTAGTGTGGAAATGCAGAGTAAAGGGGTCCATCTACAGAAATGTTGCAATTTTATCTCCCTGCGCCTTTGTGATGAAACGGTTCGTCCTAGAAAGACGCGGTTTGTGCCTTCAGATGATGCTGTTGGTGCTTTACATGAAACCGTTAGGTTTGAAATTTTCTTACGTTTTCAGATAACGGTGGCCTCTGGATGGTGAAAATTGTAAGCTCCGTAGCTGTCCCGATGCGCAGTTCATTAAGTTTGCACCTCACTGGTATTCTCTGACAAAAGAACCAAAGTCCAGCTTGACGTTTTCGGGCATAACAACTTAAGGCCACCTAAGTCCATGTGGACCAGAAAACTGGGGTGAACTTGTGCTCTTTTGTCAGAAAACGACTGGACTTATGTTAAGATGTTTTGTATGAAAACGAGCGGACTTAAGTTGTTTCGTCACATAACGGCTGGACTTGCGTCAAACTATGATATGAACATCTGAATATTTCGATAACAAATGCCATAACTGGTCATCGAACAATTGGTGGGTCATTCCACGTAAAGTCGACAAGGCCTCTGCCACCATGGTCACCGAATTGATTCTTCTTTTCAGGGTTTGTTACCCCCATGGTACTAGTTCATGACCGGTACAAAGTTTTTCGAATGTAGCCCCAGGGGCTGAGATATAGCAAAGAACTTTTTTCTCAAATTGCTGCACCAGTGCAACTTTGAAGGTTGATAGCGTCGCTAATATGCATCGTAGACCAAATCCGAGACCAGATTTGGAAAGGGGAAGAAAAATCAAATCTACTAGTAAAAAAAAATTTTGTTTTGAAATTTTTTTTTTACTTTCAAACTTTTACGAAGTTTTAAAATTTGCACAGTTTGCAAGTACCTTAACCAAATTTGGCTCCCGTTGGCTTAAAACTTAGCTTAGACCCTCCTCTAATCGAAACAGTCAACCACAAAATACGTTTTGTGCCGTTCTCGAGAACGAACCATTTCCGTGGAGCTCTGCAACACTCCACTGTAAAACGGTATTTAGCCCACCCAGTTTGGGCTGGGCGCCCTTCCCGATCGAACCCTGGCTCCGGACCCAGTTCCAGGGTGTCTAGCGCCCCTTCCAGAAAGGCAGCCCATCGTGCCGCGCCGCGCTGGGACCCTGCGGGTTGCCTACCCATCAGGCGCTCCAAGCGAACCGACACACATTTCCCCCGTCTGGGTTCCTCTAGGGGCTCCGGAACATTGGGCGACGCCCCCCTCCAAAAAAAAACCCATTCAAATTAGGAAAAAAGCAGGTAAAGCTTAGGAAAAAAATTTAAATCTATAATCTTTTATGTAATTTTGTCAGTTCATGTGAACGGATGACACAGCGGCCCGCGAGGGGCCCTCGTCAGCTGGAGTGCGGCGAGTAGACCATCCCGGGAGGCTCTAATCTTTTCAAAACAATTTTTTTCACTACTAGATTCGATTTTTCTTCCCCTTTCCAAATCTGGTCTCGGATTTGGTCTACGATGCATATTAGCGACGCTATCAACCTTTAAAGTTGCACTGGTGCAGCAATTTGAGAAAAAAGTTTTTTCCTGTATCTCAGCCCCTGGGGCTACATTCGAAAAACTTAGTACCGATCATGAACTAGTACCATGGGGGTAACAAACCCTAAAAAGAAGTCGACTTTACGTGGAATGACCCTGGTATCCTTTCCTAAATACCACGTTGTCTTTCACCTGAAATTTCATTACCATATTTGTCCTGAATTTGTCATTACAAAGCTTTTAACTTCAGGGTGAGTTTTCTCAAAGTGTCAATAATTTGCAAGTAGTTTCGGCAAACCAAGGGGATCTTTTTTTGCCAGTGAACTAGTGGGCGCAATCGTCTGGGTACGGAGATATTTGGTGTTTTGTTATTGGCCTTTACGCCTGCGAGGTAGGCACCCGCTGCCACTGAGGGTGGCAGGACCTCTCGACGGTGTGTCGCGGGACTAGCAGTACTCGTGGGAGTGCCACTGACTTCGTGGAAGTATCCGAGCAATCCTGCTTCCCTCGCAAAGACAGCCGTAAGATCCACTGTAAGGGGGGGCCACCTCGACAGCCCCTTAACAACGGCGGCAACCCCTTCCGAAAGTCATCTTCAAGGTCCATCTCACCCCTACGAGACTCGAAGGCCCCCCCCCCCTTTCTCCCACCTCGTGAGGTCCATCAACCCACAGTGGCAGCGGGTGCGTAGCTCGCAGGTGCAAAGGCCAATTACACAAGGTAGGTGTACGCCAGACCGTGTCTTGTCGTAACAGGCTTCGCGATGCTGCGCCAGTTATGACAATCCACGCCTGGCGTTACACCTACCTTGGCCTGCGGCGCTTGCCTGCCTTCGGCAGGCTAGGTTTCTTTTCCAGGCATCCGCATACCAATTTGCGTGATTGAAGGTCAAAACAGCATTTGATTTCGTGCCTAGGGCTGCATTGGCCTGACTTTTAAACTTGTCGAGGCTGGGGGGCTCCGCCCCCCAGACCCCCCTTTCCTCAAGACAGAAGTGATCTGCCTGCAGATAACTCGATTTTTCGCCGTTTTCTAGGTGTTTTTCGGCTATAAAAACCGAACCAGTTGAGCTAGGATTGTGAAATTTCGCGTGTGCTGAGCCAAGGACATACCCAAAAAGTGTGCAAAATCTCACCGAGATCGGCCGAGCCGTTCAGGAGGAGTAGCGCGGACACACACACACACACACACACACACGCACGCACGCACGCAGACAGGAAAAATTTTTCAACCCCACCTGAGTAACAGGCTTCGCTATCGCTCAGCCAAAAACACTAATTGTCTCCGTACATACACTCTTGCGCCTACCAGTTCAAAGGTGAAAAATGATCCCCTTGGGTTGCCTAAACTACCCCCAAATTATTGACACAATGAGAAAACTCCCCCTTTACTTAAAACTGTGTCCTGAAAAATTAACAGAATTGGACTTATGTCCTCTTGTCCGAAAAGTAGTGGTATGTCTCAACAAGATCCAGGATAATCGTTCCCGAGAGCTTTTTTTGCGAAGGCACTTTCATACTTAAATTTAGTCCCGCCGACTCTCATTAAAAGTTTAAAGCCTTGTACCAACAAAGAATTATCTTTTGTCCCGAAGTTTTTACTCCCCAATAATCTACGTGTGCACTGTGACTCACCAGGCACACCAGGGGACCAACGGAAAGTCGCAGCCTTAATCTGAGGGCTGCAATGCATTCCGGATGGAAAAACAGCCTTAAACACCAAATTTGAGGGATGTGTGTCCAATGGGTAGCGTCAGATTAGAACCCAAATTACAAGAAGGTGGTCGCGTATTTTTTGTGTATGTAAACTCCGTATCCAATTTGCCCATCCGCCTCCCGGTTGCCCTGCTAGCTATCAGAAGTCGACTGTATTTTAAACGTTCACAAACTTACAAAGAAAATACTTCTAATCTACGTAACGTAGATAGAATGTTCTTTGTACCAAACATATGCTCCAAATATTTCGTGTTTAAAGCGTTTTGGCTTTTTGGTGGCCTTCCGTGCAGCTCGCTTCTTCCCGCGTGAGTTCGACCCCAAGCACGAGCAAGGCTACTACGTGATGCCCCGTACCACGGCCGAGGCCAAGGCGGACGGCTGGGCGGCCGTGCCGGGACTCCGCAACGACGCCACGACCCTCTGGGCCCGCCGTGGAGACTACCGAGTGTGCCTGCTGTTCGACAAGCAGGGCAGCGTGGCCGGCATCCAGGTGTCGGTGAGTCTGCTTTGCAAATCCAAAATTCCCCCGCAGGTTCACTCTATTTTGCCTGGACCGCAACGTCTCGCTAGTGGCGCCAGCAGAAATTTCATTCAGGAGGAGCCACTGATCGGTGTGACCCACGCAAACAGTGGTCGAATCACTCTGATTTTCTGGTCAGAAGGGCGTTTTTAAGGGGGCAGTAGCGCCGTATATCATTTTTGGCACAAATTTTGACGAAGTTAAAAATGTTACAGAGTCCTTTTTTTCATCGTGGGAAATGCACTTATTATTAATGAAAACAGAGTTCTTCAAGGATGACTTTGGAATAAAATTGATATTACTTGTGAGATATCACAGTGATATCAATATTGATCTACTGTCATTTTAGTGTGGTCAGCGAAGGGCACAAGACAACACAACATACACTGGCGGAAAAAATTAAGGGGACACTTTTTCAAAGTGACCTCAAATGTCGAGTTGCAGAGGTAGAAGGCTGCAACTTTGACACAAGTTGCCTTCAAGTGTCCTGAAGACGCGTGCAAAGTTGCACTGCCGAGGTTGGACCGGGAGGCCGTGATTAACCCCCAGCAAATTTGAAGTGCAAAAAAACGCAACTTTAAAAGCGGCCAGCCTGGCTCTCGGGGGTCAAAAGAATCGGAAAACGGTGAGCGATTGCCCTTGACGTCCTTTACAAAATGTGACCCCCGGGAGACTTCTAGGACAAACCCACCCCCTACAACCCCCACCCCCTTAGAAAAGCCACAGTTCTTGAGGTACTATGCGTGACAAAAGTAAGCGACCCCTCCGGCCGGGCCTGGCGATACCCCGCGCCCAGGCCGCTGCCGAGACAGGCGGACTCCTCGGCAGATGGACCGACGCAGGGCTGCGCTGTTGTCAAACTATCACTGCAGGTGCACAATAGCTTTATTACCCCCCGACGAGTGAATGACACCCTGGGCCAGCCGCCGGTCTGGATGCCACAGAGCGGCCGAGCGGTTCTGCTCCTGCTGCTGGCCGGGTGCTATTTTTACAAGTCAATTTCATGCAAATATGACTATTTTTGACACCACTACCAAAATGCGTCTCAATCTGAGCTGATTATTTCATTGTAAGGTATCTAGTAAACTTTTTCTTACTTCATCAAAATGATCTTAGAAAATTAATTTTTACATGTATAAGTCGGAAATTGAGTCCTCAATGCAGTGGCCAACATTCCCAACATGTCAAAATCGATACCTCCTAACAACAGACACGTACTTCGGGCACGCTTCTCAAAACTCACGTACTTTCGGCAGCTTGTGCAACAAACACGCAGTTTCGCCGTTTCTAGTCAAAAAGCACGCAGTTTCCGCATTTTCGTCCTGGCGGGCACGGAAATGCATTTTGGGTATTTTTCATGGTTGGGCTAGTGAGGTACAGTCACTAAGTCACCATTAATAACCTCAAAACGGTTTCAGGAGTGATCTGCATTGAAATATTACAGGAAGTTTGGAGGTTAAAGGTGGGCCTATATTTAACGACAGATCGTTCCTGAAACCGTTTCCAGGTTATCAATGGTGACTTAGTGACTGCACCTCACTAGCACAACCTAGAAAGTTACCCAAAATGTATATCCGTGCCCGCCAGGACGAAAATGCGCAAACTGCGTGCTTTTTGACTAGCAATGGCGAAACTGCGTGTTTGTTGCACAAGCGGCGGAAAGTACGTGAGTTTTGAGAAGCGTCTCCGAAGTACGTGTCTGTTGCTAGGAGGTATCGAAATAACGCCCTAGAAAATTTGCATTCTAGAATTAGCCGGGTTGCCTGCAGGCTATTGTGTCGCGGATCTCATTCACTGCCTGGCTGCGTGAGGGTGCTGACAAGCTGATTTATTGCCCCTTGACTCAAAATAAAAATTTTCAAACAACTTATTTTTGGATTTCGAATTGAGTGGATATGGGTTCCTTGCGAAGCTGCGAGTCCAGTGATATCTTGAAATTTTGTTCTACGACTATTTGAACCGAAATTCCAGACCAAGTCCAGTTGCCTGCGCATCGGACTTCCCAGGCCACAGGCCGGGTCCTCTGCCTCTGCACTTTGGCACATGCTGCCCCCCTCCCCCTCACGGCACCTGCAGTGATAGTTTGACAACAGCGCAGCCCTGCGTCGGTCCATCTGCCGAGGAGTCCGCCTGTCTCGGCAGCGGCCTGGGCGCGGGGTATCGCCAGGCCCGGCCGGAGGGGTCGCTTACTTTTGTCACGCATAGTACAGCACTGAGATCGGGCTGGCGTCATCCTCTTGGTCACCGTGATAAAGTGGATACCGCGTATGAGCCTGTGCACCCCGTGGTCGACCTCGGAAAGACCGAAACACTTCACCCCCTTTCAACCCCCTGCGATTTGAGGAATTTCTGCTTTGCGGAAGGGGGTGAAACTCACCGGGGTTTTAGTAGACGTGACCCTATATATTTCTAAATTACCGAAAAATACCAATTTTACCGGGGTCTCATTAAAATAACGATATTTTACCGTATTATACCGTTCTTTACCGGTAATATTACCGGCCTTTACATCCCTAAGGGCATTGCTGCTAGTCTTAGCATATCTTCAAGTACTTTGGCCCGTGACCAGTTTTTCAATCCCAGATTTTCACTTTACCCTTCTGATCACTTTCCGTACCGTCAAAGCACTCCGTGTTATACGGGTTGGAGAAGGGATATATAACGTTAAATTACGGTCGCCTGTTGTAGAAGAATAATTGATTGTTTTCCTTCTGCGCACAGGCATCAAAGGCCGCTCTGAAGAAGTCGGGAATTCCATTGCAGTACGATAAGAACGACTATTGGTTCTCTCAGACGCTTCTTGGAGTTGAAGTCTACAGCGCAACCGCTTATTTCGTGACTACTCGTAAGTTCGGCTGGATGCTTTGCTCTCTCACCGGACTTATGCTAAGATTGGCGTTAGGGGCTGCCACAACTAACAGTACGAAGCTAAGGGCATCTGAAGCCCCCATTACTCCCCCCCCCTCTCAAAAAAAGGCAAATGCGCTTAGAGTTTGACCAACCATAAGGGAGGGTGGGGCAAGTGACACTTTTTGGATTTTGGCACTCACTCCGATACTGTGCGAGAAATGAATCAGCTTACACTGCAGAAGGTTGCTTTGATCCTTCCTTGATCGCAAAAACACGTTGTTGCGTTTTGACAACACCCATTTCTATTATTTAAATAGCTTCCCGCAGACCTCTGCATTTGTCACTTGGTTCCCCAGCCGGGGGCACCTAGTGACAGGTCAGAAGTCAAGACGCGTTTCGCGGATCTCCCATTTAGGGCCTTTAGGACTCTAAACTAACCATGCTAATGACCTGATTCGAAAATATGTTTTGAATATTTCAAACGATACAAAACAACGGTTTGAAACAAACTCGTTTTCGGAGGTACTAAGGCGACGTTAAATACGAAATCTTGAAACTAAAGCCACCGTTATTTAAGAGAATCGTTGGTGAGTACAAACAGACTCTCAGACAGAGACGCACGACCAGTCACTTTTCAGCGCGCCCTAACACGGCAACGGCTTTGCTATCGCTGAGCCCAATAAGTCATTGTGTAAGCTCGATCAACCTGTTCGTTTTTTGTATAATTTGGTACATGTGCCATTGGGTCAGCTTGTGTTTTAAAAAAAAAGATCGACCTGTTCGTTACCGTAGAACGGGGTAATATGAGACATGAAGGAAAATCGAGACAAAGCGCACTTTTTTCGGTTTTTCTCGTGTAGCTCTCTAGCTGTTGTTCAGAAGACCACCGTGAATTTTTTTTCCTGATCTAGGAGGTTGTGGCCGCTCACAGGTAACGCACGAAGGCAATCAGAAACTCGCCAGGATTATTTAGAACCGAAGGAAAAACTTCTTAATTTTAACAAGTTTTATAAACTTAGTAAAACCCTCCCCAGAAACCTCGGTAAGAACTTGGGCTCTCGTCCGAACGAGGTTTAAATCTGTAGGCAATTATGTCAACATAATCAGGACAAAATTCGGTTCCGTTATGTCTACTCTCGGGCTGCCTGTTCCAGATGGAATACAATTTTGTTACCTTGCAGGGAAAATAGAGACGCCTCTTTTCGCTTGAAACATGAGGCCAAACATACTCTACTGTTAATACTTTCAAGTAATAATGATTTTAACACGAATTTGTTTTACTATCTGATCGGCATCTATGCTCTTCGTTTAGTATTTTCATGTGACAGGCACAACTCATGACTTCTTATAAATTTTTCAGCTCTCTTTAGTGACACCCATTTTTCTCCCCTCCAAATTTTATATCGTCTCCATTATAGTTTCCAATCATCTTTAAAATGAATGAAAAGAACTTCAAAAGCTCCAAACCCACCTAAATGATTTGATTATCCATACTTTTTTAGCATTTCTTTCTTTTGTTTTTATTCCCCAAAATTGGGCGGGGGGGGAAAATAAAAAGGGAACGCGTTCCGGGGGTTTTTTGGAAAAAGGTCCCCCTAACTCCCAACCCAAAAATCTAAATTTTAGTGGGGGGGTTTTCCCCCAAAAGGAAAGGGAAAATTTAGGCACCCAGCCCCAAAATTTTGAAATTGGAAAAAAATTCAAAAAAAATTCGAAATTTTCTTTTTTTCCCCGGTTCCACAAAAAATTGGCCCCCGTTCGGGGCATGGCTTCCAAACCCATAAACCAAAGCCCCAAAAAAAAAAGGGTTTAACCGGTTTGGGTTGTTTTTGGGGGAAAAGTTTTGGTCCCTTTTAATTTAAGGGTTCGAAAACCCTCAAAAAACTTCAAAATTGGGAAAGACCAAAACTCTTCAAATTTGCCGGGAAAAAATTTTAAACCTTGGTAGGCCACGTTTGGGAGTTCCCCCTTTTCCGTAATATTGCAGGCCCTTCTTTTTTGGGGAACCAGTAAAATTTTGGATTTGGTTTTCAAAAAGGAAACCAAATTTTTGTTAATTTTATTTTTGGTTTCCGGTAAAAAAAAAGGCCCTTGGCGGGGGGGGGAAAAAAGGGCCAAAAGGGAAAGCGCCTCATTTTTTTTTCTCCCGACCTGGCCCACTTGCCACAAACCGTCCTAACCCGAAAAGGGATTTGAAAAAATTAAAACGGGGGCCCCACCAGGGAAAGGTTAAAGGGCGGCAAAAAAAGATTTTGAATTTTTTTTTAAAAACAAAATGCAAAAAAATTTTTTGGCGAAAGGGTCACCCCTTTTTTTTGGGGCCCAGGTTAACCAAACCCAATTTAAAAATTTTTCCCCCAAAAACCCCCAAATTTCTTCTTTTTGGCCTTCAAAAATCCCTTTTAAAAAGCCCAAAAGAAAAAAGGGATTTAACTTGTTTTTCGGATTTAAAGCTTTTTGAGTATTTATTCATTTCGAAAACCCTTTTTCCAAGTTTTTTGGGTTTTAAATTTTTGGAATTAAATTTCGGGTGCCTGGAACGTTAACAGGTTTAAAAAAAAAAAACCTTTTTCCCAAAGGAAAGAAAAAGGTAAGGAAAGGGGGGGGTTTCCGGGTTCCTGGGAAAAGCTTTTAAAGGAAAAAATTTTGAAGGAAAAATTTTTGAGGATTTTTTTTTTAAAGAAGTCCGATCGTGGAACACGACCGATGCCGATTTCCTCCATTGTTTGGTCAAAGGTAGTCCTTGTGAGTCTAAGAAAGGCCACAAATTTTTTGGGCCGAAATATGCACCGTTCAGATTCTATGGGAAATTTTTCGTTTCCTCGACCACTTTTCACATAATATGGCCAAAATTGAAAAATCGCCTTTCTGAGGCCTCTATGCACTCGATTGAGCTCAAAATGTGGTATCTTATGTAAAATCACGCGAGGAACACTAATCCGGTGCCCGTTTGTTTATAGGACAACCCAAACAGATGTTATGACTTTTTTTCAGGTTTTGTAGTGGTTTTTACTTTTTTTGGGGTTTTGGTGTTCGGCATCGATTTTCGCCAATCCGATGAGTGGATTTTATAGATAAAGGACCAATCTATCATACTACGAGATAAAAAGTTTGTGTACGCCGCGTGAAAAGCAGTGGCGCTGCAAAAATTGAAAAACCGTCATTTCTGGGTAGTTTTAGATTAGATAAGCCACCTTTCGCGTGACCGTCTCCGCCCCATATTCAGTCTAAATATTGTCCCAAGTGATGTCAGAGTTGGTGTGAAATTTCACCGCTGTAGCTCAAGTAGTTTGGAAATGGCAGCTTTCTAAAGTTTTGCAATCACGTAAGGCATTTACTTTAAGTAGAATTGCGGTAAATGTGAAGACTTGTCACAGATGGGGTAATAAATGAGATAGATGAGTGCGTCAAAGTTCTCTCAGCTTTTTGGACAAGGAATCCGATTTTGCCGGTACAAAGACCCTAGGTGTACTCTAAAACTACTTTTTCGTGCAAACCACATAAAAATGGCCTTTTTTCCTACTTCAGAGTTGGCCTAGGGTCTTCGTACCAGGAAAATCGGATTCCTTGTCCAAAATTACGCTGAGAGAACTTTGACGCACTCATCTATCTCATTTATTACCCGATCTGTGACAAGTCTTCACATTTACCGCAATTCTACTTAAAGTAAATGCCTTACGTGATTGCAAAACTTTAGAAAGCTGCCATTTCCAAACTACTTGAGCTACAGCGGTGAAATTTCACACCAACTCTGACATCACTTGGGACAATATTTAGACTGAATATGGGGCGGAGACGGTCACGCGAAAGGTGGTTTTATCTAATCTAAAACTACCCAGAAATGACGGTTTTTCAATTTTTGCAGCGCCACTGCTTTTCACGCGGCGTACACAAACTTTTTATCTCGTAGTATGATAGATTGGTCCTTTATCTAAAAAATCCACTCTTTGGGATTGGCGAAAATCGATGCCGAACACTAAAACCCCAAGAAAAGTAAAAACCACTACAAAACCTGAAAAAACAGTCATAACATCTTTTTGGGGTTGTCCTATAAAACAAACGGGCACCGGATTCGTGTTCCACGCGTGATTTTACATAAGATACCACTTTTTGAGCTCAATCGAGTGCATAGAGGCCTCAGAAAGGTGATTTTTCAATTTTGGCCATAGTATGTGAAAAAATTTCAGAGAAAACGAAAATTGCCCATAGAATCTGAACGGTGCATATTTCGGCCCAGAAAATTTGTGGCCTTTTTTAGACCCACAAGGACTACCTTTGACCTAAAAATGGAGGAAATCGGCATCGGTCGTGTTCCACGATCGGATTCTTAAAAAAAAATGCCTCTATTTTATCCAAGCGTTCATTAAAAATACTAATTTCTTTAACAAAAAATCTAACAAGTGATTTGGAGGGACAAACACATAATGTAAATGGACGAAAACTGACTTCTGCGAATCCTTCAATCATCCCACGTCATTCGAACTTCGCATGTTTTCAGACCTTAAAGAAATAATGTTTTTTTGTCTCAATTATTTTTTGGTTTCGTCCACTTGTCACGTGAAAGCCTAATAAAGTTGATCATTTCGAGACTATATCAAAGCGTGTGTTGCTATTTTTAACACACTTATTATGGTTTTCACCTCATTCTTACCTTCTAAAAAGTTCTCAGTGCCGGCGAAGCGCAGAATCTCATTTCGCTTTTTTTCTTGTTCCAGAGTGTTATTATCAACAAACCAGCGTGCTTTGATAGGTGGGTTGACACCTACGGTCTCTGGGTCCTCCATATCTTTTTCGAGGACAAACCTTGGGATGTGAAATGCGTTTAAGTAATAAAAATCACGAAAACCAGACTAATATCTAATATCAGGAAAAGTAGCGATACTCATCGGCAACTTTGGCCCGTCCCGTACATTAAGAAATGTGCGAATTTCGCCTATGTTAAACCCTTGCAGGATTTGAACCTGCGTCTGAGGCAAAATAGATGAAATTTTCGTCATCAGCACCCTCAAAAACATCAGAAAGAATGCAACAACTCGAATAAAAAGAATGTTTAAAAAAAACCCCACTGCGATTTGAACCCGGGTCCAAACTTCTCCGATTCACTTGAAATTGGCACCTTTGGGTTTTGTCTTGTCGCCCTGTTTCCCAAAAAATCCCCCTAC